CCACCACTATCTTAAATTCACTGCCCTCTAAGCTTCCATCCAACCTTTGAGTTGCCACTATCAATTTGATCTCACATAGATAATTCTTTAAAAGAGCACAATGCTCAGAGCAGATGTACTTTACTAATTAAGATAAGCTATTTTTTGGTTCAAAGAAGACTTCAGGGTATAGTCTTGGTTTAAGATTTAAAGTTTAAAGACTATCTCCAGGCTGTAGTTTTGGGAGTTCATCCATCCTCAGTGGGTCCAGAAAGTCTGGATTCCATTTTGAATTAGAAATTCTGTTTCACATTATTCCCCCTATTGATCGAGATTTTTCTATAGAATCTTCAATCAAAAGATTCAGTCATAGTAGCTGGGCACCGTTCGGTTCTTGTGGTCTCATGGCAAAGGAGGCAGCTGTTCACAGAGGCAATCAGATGCATATTTGATTTCCTCCTTCAATTCCTGGCTGTCCTTCTTCCTCTGTTGCTTCAGGTGAATGGAGACCAATTGTTGTACTTTGGATGGCTGCTTGCTAGCTTTTAAGACCCCAGTCACTATGCAATGAACTAGGAGGTAGAATAGAAGTACTGAGAAATAATGCTACGAAATTTTTCTTGAAAGGTTTTGAGGCAATTGTTTGCTTAGCTAGTCAGCAGAAATTTATTAAAAGCCATGTAATACTCACTGGAAGCAAACCTGATTTTATTAATCTAACTGGGAATGTGTGCACACATACACACATACACACGTGCACACACACACACACACACACACACACACACACACACACAACGGTTTGGCAACTGAAAGCAAGGGATATGTTATATGTAACAAAACGATTTAAATATTCTTGATACATGTATTTGGAAGGACTGGGCGATAAGATGACTAATAAAAATCAGGCCTCACCATCAGGAAGAAGTTTTATTTGTTTATTTATGTTATTGTTACAACATTTCTAATTGTCCAAGAGACCTAGACAGGGACAGATTACCCAAAAAGGAAGGTACGCACGGGCTTACTTACGCTTACTTACTAAGCTGTAGTGCACCATTTCAGCATGTCAAAGACTTGGTGAAATGCAGGGGAAACTGTGCACTACAGATTAGTGAGTAAGCACAAGTAAGCCCATGCCTACCTTTGTTACTGGTTAATCCGCCCTTGGGCCCAGATCTCTGGTGAGTTCAGATTCAGGCCCGTTGTTGCAGCCACATCGCTAGATTGATGAGGTTTCTAAAATGCTACACATACTAGGAGATAGGTGGGGGGATTTCCCTGGCTCCAGAGAAGAATTTGGAGGTAATTATTTGGGCTAATATCTGTGCTGTTTCCTTACTGTTTCAAAAGCAGAGCAAAGCTTGAGTAATTAGAAGTAAACTGGTTCTTGGCAGTTCACCTTCAAATGTCAAGAGCAGAAACTATTTGATGTGAACTTTCAATTTTCACTGACTTCTCCTTGCTCCTTTGTTCTCTACATTTTGGTTAAGTGTTGGACTACTAATTGAAAGGTGGGTGGTTCAAACTCACCCAGAGGCACCTTGGAAGAAAGGCCTGGAGATCTGCTTCCAAAAGGTCACAGCCTTTAAAACTCTATGGAGCAGTTCTACTCTGCACATGTGGGGTTGCCATGAGTTGGAATTGGCTCAATAGCAACTAACAACCCCAACAATGACAAAAGCAATGACAATAACCAAACACTATGTGTTATCTGTTGTTACAACCTTCCTCGTATCAGAAAGATAAATAAAAACTATCAAGTGTTCTTTGAAAAATAATTACATTGCATTTGAATGGGCACACGTACTCCATTGATTTAACCGCAAGAAAACATACTTTTAGATGTTTATTTGACCAGATGAAGGGATAGTTCTGTATTCCATCTTAAGATCTCATTAGTTAAAGTATTGAATCGGTATTTGCTAAAAATTATTGAAGGTCCCATGATAATATCTTCACTGTAGGCTTAACTATTTCAGGAGTTCAAAGTAGTAAGTATTTGTAAAATTTGAAAAACACTATATGTAAGTTTCAGAATTTAATTATGAATTTAAAAAGCAGGACTCCTGGACAAATTTTAGTGCCTTTAGAGTTAAATATTGACTTTTTCTAGGAAACACACTTTCTGAGTATTACATACTGATTACCAGGCTTGAAAAATGTGACATAGTCTGGGTTTTATGTATCTGTCAAATGAATGGAAGTGACCTGTTTTGGTGAAGTCCTTGGGTGGTGCAAACACTTCAAGTACTAGGCTACTAACTGAAAGGTTGGAGGTTCAAGTCCACCCAGAGGCACCTCAGAAGAAAGGCCTGGTGATGTGCTTCCGAGAGGTCACCGTCATGAAAACCCCATGGAGCAGTTCTACTCTGAAAGACATGGGTGACCATCAGTTGGAGTCAACTTGATGGCAACTGGTATATGTGGCATGGTCATTGGAGGACCCTGGAGTAGAACATTTGTGTTTAATGAGGATTTCCAGATAGCTGGTATTCACTCTGAAACTGGGTGCTAAGTTGGAGATGCAAGAGACTTCATGCAAACTCAGTAACGTGTCCTTCGTTACCAACCTGCCCTTGGATCTGGTGGGCAATGGCATTTGGAAAACAGGGATCACTCCTGAGGTCTCTGGTTGATTTGCTTCATGCCAACTGAGTCATTCCTTGACCAGCCCCCATAGGGGAGGTATCTGGATGGGACAAGATGCCTCTTAGCATTGAGGTATGTGCAGTTTTTGGGAAGGAGGTGGCGGAAACTAGGGGGATAGGAATAATAGGCT